AGAATTTTGCCGTAGCACGTTGCAGAAAAATTACTGATGTAGCACATTTAGCGAAAATCACTATTGTATCACATTTGTCACAAAAGTTGAATGATCGAAGAATTATTGCACGACTGGCGAAGTCAGCGGAACGGAACAGATCACATTGATGATTTGCTGAAGCTCCTTGCGATGATATGCACGACTTTGAAAAAAACACAAGCAATATATATCAATACTTCTAGAAATAATTGAAGGGGTACGTTGTAGCATACGTTTAATGTCCATATTCGTTGTTATTTTTAGTCAGTTCTTCAGAATGCCTTGGATGCACGTGGCTTAGGGTCGTTGAAAATCCATTGTCAGTAGCGTGCTCAGTCAAAAGGTCACCACTTTTGGTGGTCGTGTGTGCTTAATGCATGATATAATTAAAGAAAATAAGAGTAGACAATCTCCTATAACAAAAGAATATATTAAGTACTAAATTACAATTTAAATTACATTGCAGAGATCAACACAGAGCTCGGAACACAGTTCATGCTACCATCGCGTACAGTTGTGTGACGAGAAGTCTGAGTGAGTAAAGATGTCGCTTTGCTGCTCCGATTAAGAACTGGATTTTACACGTGGCGCCATCTCATGAATAGAAGTTGAAGTATCTGTCGGAACGCCACTGTATCCGGTGGACCAACTAGATCATGTTAGTCATTCAAAAAAAAGTGTATGCAATTTTTCTCTTCGACCTTCCATACGATTGCATAATAGATGTTGGCACGTAGCAAATTTTTTAATGAAAGAATTCCTTCCTCTTTCTACAGTGGAGATAACGCAGAGCAGATATGTAGCCATAAAATTTAAAGCAACTTATTATTTATTACTTCTTTGTATGAAGTAAAAGGTAGTATTGTAATCGCGAAATATTTCGGGTATCGTATTTCAACAAACGTACCCATCTGAACGATGTTTTTGCGTGACATCTATACGCACGAACAGAATAAAAGACTTTTTCCCCCAAACAGATTGTAAAACGATTTAAAATGGATTAAAATGAGATTTTGTTCGTGACAGCTGTACCGTACGTATCATGTATAATTCAAAAACGAGTGGCCATAGAACAAGGTTCGTTTCTATATGGGACTGCTCTAACATACAGTTTTGCACCTCCCTTTTTGGTTGCAATCGGCCGCACCAAATATATACTCCGAAGAGCCATTACATTATGACTACCGTTTTAATAACATGTAAGACCACATTTAACCTTCAAAACTGCCAGCACGGCATTGATTCCACAAGGTGCTGACAGGTAGTGTCTGAGGTATCTTGTACCGAGCGCTCACCAGCTGGTCCTGCACATTGCGAGGGGGTAGCGTGGCAGCACGAGTTTGGTTTTCCAAGATGGACCACAAGTGCTCTATTGGATTAATGTCAGGTGAATTTGGAGGTTAAGACATGACTTGAAAGTCACTGGAATGTTTCTCGAACCACTCTCGACCTATATGACATGGTGCATTATTCTCTTGGTAAACACAATTCCCCCCGGAAATATTATTGTCATAAATGGGTGAACCTGGTCTGAAACGATGTTTACGTAGCGCACAGATGTCAGGGATTGTTCTATGGGAATTATAGGTACTAATGTGCTCCATGAAACATTTGCCCACACAATAATACCCCTGCCACCGGCTTGTCTCCGTTAAACTGTGCATCCGGGAGCCAGCGTTTTGTCTGAAAATCGGTGTATTAGCACAAGCCTGTCGATGTGATGGACCAGAAAACTTAATTTGGCGGACCATACAACTTTCTTCCATTCTTTTAACTCTTTCGCATCGAGAGAGGGCAAAATCTCAATTCCCCAAACATCGAAAACGCCCGTATCTAAGAATTTCTCCTGGAATGTTTTTCCTTCCCCCATGACAAGTTGAATACTACAGCGCTAACAATAGCCTTACTTAAGTAAAGCGAGAACTTCTTTCTTCGACGCTTTGACACTGTGTGAAGTTCTCCCTTGGGACGGGATTGCAACTTCGGGCATCAAAAGCTAAACACTGACAGTAAACAAAGGAAAGGAAGGAACAAAGGAAACAAGGAAACTACTTTTAGTAGCTTCAAAAGAATGATTGCCACGTGATTTAACAACACCTGAAAGCAATGAGTAATGCAGTAAGTAACGTGATGGGGAAAAGCACTGGGTAGGAAATTATTCAGGCGTTTCGGGCGTCCAGCCGATGTCTGAATGTTTGGGGCGACTTCGATGCGAAAGAGTTAATGTCCAATTACGATGTTTCTGGGCCCGTTGTAGACGCAGCTGGCGATGACGTGCTCTCAATGCAAGATATGCTTCGGCCTCCGGCTTCGTAGGCTCATACGGAGCAATACACGCCGCACAGTGCGTTTTGAAACACTCTCTGTGTCGCCACTATTGTAGCTAGTGATTATTTCGGCTGTTGTAGCTCTTCGATAATGGCGAAAATTGCGTAGCATTTTCCGCTATCCTCTGGCGTCAACGCGCCGTCGACGACACACTGCTGCCCGGTGACTTGTCGTTTCACCATCCATACACCACTTTCGATATGTGCTCACAATTGCATGTGAACAGCCGTGACGTTAACTCAACGCGCCGTTTTTGATAATGATTTGACCTTTATCGAAAACTTTCAGGAGAGACAGAGTATACCTGGGCAATGGAAAATCACTTAGTAATGCATGGTCAGAAATGCTTTCCTGGTGCGGTAGTGATGACAAAAACACAAGGAAGAATGGACGCGAACAGGCTGAGGAAACATGTTTATTATGCTTAGTGCAGTAGAAACCAAGAAATGAAAAACAAAAGCTGACAACAACTGTCATCAAAGGAAAAACTTTTAAGACATCGAAATTACGACGCCAGACCATGATGCAAGCCTTATATATCCGGCGCATGGAAGACCTGTTGTTCTGGAAAGTACCTAGCATATCGTGGACTTCCCCAGCAGCTGCCACGATGCGTGAAATAAGTTCCTGAACGTAATGTTAATGGAGATTTCGCACACCAGTGTCTTGACGTATCCCCGAAAAAAGAAGTCAGTGCAAATGAGGTGTTTTGTATTAGTGAAAAAAACTGTCGTTAGTCTGCCGGTGACAGAGGAGAATGTTGACGAGCATCGCATGTGCATTTGAAGCGGCGCTGAATCGTCTATGAGAAACTTTCTTTTTTATTTGTTTAATTTCTTTCTAGATTTATTATAGTTTGAATAGAACATGTGGCTTCTTCAGATGATACAATTTTTCTGCTTTCTGAGTTACAAAAAAAGATGTAAATGAGCGTAGCGCCAGAGTGTCGCTATGGCAAATAAATATAGTGAAATTTAAAGAGTAAGCAAGGCTGTTAATGTATGCAAAAGTTTTAAATTCCCAACATTTTACCTGCACTGAGCATAATAAACACGCTTTTTCACCCTGTTCGTGTTCATCCTTTCTTAAGTTTTGTGCCGTCACAACTGTGTTAGGAAAGCGTTACCGACGATGCATTACTGTATTTTCCATCGTTTAGGTGTACTCTGTCGTTACTGAGAATTTGTAATTGAATTGCTGAAAACACCTTGTATATACAGTATCACAAAAAATTTTTAACAAAAATATCCAGTATTATTTCTGTGCAATATGCTGTTAAAAATTAATATGTATATATAAATACGCTTTTTATTTTGGTATGTTTGAACACCTAGCAAGCATCGAACCACATTCTTATATGTTGGTAAATTGTGCATTTTTTGCTTTGAAAGTGATTGAATTATGTTGCTTTATGTTCCAGTTAAGGTTTTTATACCTTCAGTTAACCTGCATACAATAATTGTAGAATTATCAACAATTTAAAAGTTTAAGTATCTAAGCCAAACATGGCTGCCATTTGTCTACATTTGAAACCTTTAGTAAAATAGTGATATAAGTCAGTTGGTGCACCAACTTCAAGTCTTTTAAGTTAACTTACAATTTTGTCTTCCTGCTCGCTGGCTAAATTGCTTGTTTTGGCAATTTTAATTGTAATAATTTTTTTAAAACTGTTTTTAACTGTATTTGATGTTCTAAGTTTCTCTGTATTTTACAATTTTTAAACAAAAGTTTGAGTTTTTATGCACTTTTGCCTTGCCACTAAGCGAGAACTGAATTGATTGAATTAGAAATATACCTCAAAAGATTTTCGAGAAAATAAGTTTAAATGAAGTGCAGCAAATATTTAAATACCTCTAAAGAATTTCGAGGAAATAAGTTAAAATGAAATGCAACAAAAATTAAATAGGCCGTACAAGGAAGTTGTGGTGTCCACATCAGGTATTTTTTAATGGCTTATAGACTTACTTCTGAGTTGCTTCCAAAGTTTCATATGATAAGCATGTTGCCAAGATACTCATGTCGCCTAATTACCGTATTTACTCGCGTAATGGCCGCACTTTTTTTTTTGTCAATTTTTCATTGTGAAAGTCTTGGTGCGACTACTATGCGGGGAAATCTAGTACACAATACTGTACACTTTTGGCGATTTTTTTCCTGCTTCAAAACAGGGTTGTGACTATTACGTGAGTAAATACGGTAAGTTATGGAACAAAGCATTTCTGTTTTAAGAACTTCAAATTATAATTACAAACATTTATAAAAAATGATTTCTAAACTTTGATACATTGATTCTGTTTTTGGTACAAAATTCTGAAGTTTTGCAATGAGTTAACATAAGCTCAGCTATTTTTTCTTAGCGGTAAACAAATTGAATATTTGAAATGGGAACCATTTGGATCAGATTAGGAATAATTTCTACATTTATATGAAAGCCTGACTTTAGAAAATGGAAACTATCGACCTTTTTATAGTTATTAGAGATAACAGCAGTCTGTAAAACAGAATGTTACTGAACAATGCCTGCCATGCAAGTCAAAATTGACCACATAATAAAAGGTTTTTAAAAAATTCTACTTTATTTTGGTACTTTTTGAAAATGTAATTCTGGAATAAAATTAAAGACAGAAAACAGATTTTTAAAATATATTTTATTGATGCATTTGAATGTTACATAAGTATAAAAATATGTATAAAATAAGTATAAAAACAAAAGTGAATGTAAATGCCAAATAAATTATAATGAAATGATGAATATAAAATTATAAACTAACATATCAGATTATACAATTCAGAGGTTTTAATATCAGATATAAATCTACTTTTCTTTTAAAAGACTGTATTTTAATTTCTTCAGAGGACACAGTTAAATATTAATACAACTGTTTTAACATCTTGGACATACACAATTTCCATAAGGCCATTTATAAGCACTGCACAAGTAAAATAATTTTACTTGGCAAAAGTAAATTTAAGCTCTTTCAAGAATAGAAATTTATTGGAAGGAAGTTTATTTCACTTTTTATCGCTGTGTTGCATTCAAAAGTTCACTGTTTCCAACTTTATTTGATTCATGAACATTAGCAAATTTTAAAAAATAGTGCTATACCCAGGTGACTGCCACATAGTGCCTTAATTTATTGCTGAAAGAAGGCACAAAAACGTCTGGTATAGTCATCAAGTCCTCTTGGGATATTTTAATTATTTTTTTAGGAGTCTTTTAATGTATTTAGGCGAAATTCTTGAATTTTTCCTTTGCCCATAGATTTTGTTTTTCTTATTGGTAATTCATTTGCTAAATCTTTTTCTGAAGAAGTTTGTGTTTCAGTAGAAGATGAATCTGATTCAAGCTGAAAGAAAGGATAGGTTTTACGTATTTTGTGAGACTGCACTGAAGTCTCAGATTCAACGTTCTGATTTTTGTTAAATTTTCTTTGTGACGCCAGTGATGCATTAAGACTTATTGGGAGGAATTTCTTTTCTTTTGGTTTACTTTGTCGAGGTATAGTAGCGGTTAATCTTTCGGTCATCAGGTCTGGAATACAAGAGCTTTTATCTGATGTAGGTAACTGTGAGGCTAAATCATCAGTATCTAATGACTTTACATTACATAAGTTTTTCAATTTTAGTACTTCTTCAGATTTAAAATATTCTTCAATACTTTCAAAGTACACATTATTTAAAGTAGAAGTTTTATTATTTTCTTCATTCTCAGAAAACAGATAATTGGCTTTAATCAAAAGCATTTCAGATAACCGTTCCAATTCTAGAAGCAAAAATTCAATGGGAAGTACATAATCATCTTTTGCTATAACTTGAGGAACTCCTGGATCAAAACATGATAAAAGCTTTCGTTTGATTACTTTAGCTGATTCACGGAAGCTTATTTTTTCCTTTTGCATCATATTAGGGCATTTGACTGTTATTAAAATTGATCTTATGATGGCTAGCAAACCAATGTGAATGGCAGCAATACAGAATAAATTTAGAGTTGAAAAATATCTACTCACATTTTCGCCAGCACTGATAATTTCCGGCTTTCTACAGTTCTTATATATTGAATTAATACATTTTATAATATTAAGCAGAGGATTTGCATGTTTATGAGATTCTCCAACAAAATTTCTATCTATCAAGCTACAAAGAGAGGCAAGAAGTAAAAATGCACAAGATACTACTGCAATCTGTTTCCAGACATTAATTAATCTTTTTAATAATCTTCTAAGCCGACAACTAAATGAAAAAACACGCAAAGATCCAAGCAAATGCAAAAACACAAGAAATGCCATCAAATCATGATTGATCATCTCTAGTAAAGCCACATTTGTTAAGTTTAAATTTGAACTAAGGCACATTTCAGAAAACTTATTTAAAGCAAATATATAATGAATAATATAAATTCCATATAAAATTAAAAATATTACAGATATGATACTGAAAGTAAGTAAAAAATAATTCCAGTACTGCTTCCAGTAAAATGATCCATGCTTAAGCATATTCCATAATTGGTTTTTAAAATTTATAACAGTGACCAATAGAAAAATTAGATATAAAATAAATTTTACATAGAGATCAAAATTACTATACATTTTTACAAATAGAATGTTCTGATTTACTACCAAAGGCACCAATGGAGAACTTTCAAACAGTACAGAGATGGAAATGAATGTAGAAGAAGAAGGATTAAACAAAAGGAATTCAAGACTTATTGCTTCAGATGAGCCATTTAGCCATTGCAGAACAGAATCCAGTTGAACCACAGCTTCCAATTTTTCATCTTTTAAGATCAATAACTCATCTTCCATATAATACTGGTTATAATATCCATTAAGCAAACGGCGTTCATAATTTGAAATTGATTCGTTAGATTTGTTAGCATCATCTGTTTGTTTAAGTACTTCACACTGATTTAAAATCTGTGAATATAAATCACATACTGTAGAGTTTTTAAAATTTCTTATGACAATACTTCCAACTGTTATGCAACCTGTCAGGCTGTTGATTCCACATTCCATATGCTGACCAAGGCAATCAGAATCATTATAGAAGTGACTGATAAAGTCATATTTTAGCCACTCGTTTAACACCTCTTTGGATTTCCAAGTTGAAATATCCTTTGGCCTGTAAACAAATACAAAGATAATTAATTCACTACCTCTATGGATTCAATAACTGTGATAAAAACATTCAGATAGTTTTAAAATTTTGTAATTCAAGACCAACTAAACTATAGTTTTTTTTTTTTTTTTTTTTTTTTTTTAATTGAACTAACATATGCAACAAAACTTGTGTTTCAAAACATTAACAGAATGATTTTTGTGAATGCTACAGTTTCCTTTATTTATCTAGACAATCCGATTTTCTAAATATAACAATCTGAAAATGTGAAAAGATAAAAGTCTTCTCAACAACAAAAACTGAATTTTTAAATAAATGTCACATAAAATCTTCATATTAGAGCAATGGTTCTCCCACTGCCAAAGGGACAAATAATTTTGAAAATTAAGCATTTTTATGTAGTTTCGATACCCTGTGTCAGCATGAGAAAGAGTTCACGAGTTTGAAACTTCTGGTTCTTTAAAGGAAGGCAGGCATAGATTTAATAAACATTTTTTAATTAAGGTGATAGAATTGGTTACTACAATGAACATTTTTATTTTCATTTCCCTTTTTAAATGCATACACTAATAAATGATGCAATTAAGAGAAATGGGAATAAATTATTCTCATTCATATACTGGGTTGGGCAATCCTGCTCAAAAGAGGGTGTGCCACATGCTGAAGTGGGGTTTACCCTACTCCTTTTGGAAACTGTTTTCTAATGGTGAGTTTCTGAAGATGGTTTTCTTAGCCACATTCACAAATTATTTGAATATTTTCCCAACAAATAACAAATAATCAGTAAAATTATGGAATCTTCATGAATATTCTGAAGGATAGAATATTAAAAATGAGTGATGATGTTTCAAAGCAAATGGAGTGTGATTTAGATAACATCGAGATGCTTTCAATATTCCTTGATGAAAGAAAGACTTTACAGGCAAAGTTAGCCGTTTCCGTTCACTTTGCTTGCAGAAATATAATGAGAAAGCAATTTGTTTCATTGCAAAGTTTACCAACCACAACCACAGGTAAAGATATAACGAATGAAATAAAGCAATCAATAATATATTTTGAAATGTATTGATACATTTAATTTTTCATACTATAAAAAAATGGATTCATGATAACAACGCCAATGACTGCATCAACCAAAGTTTCTGTGTCATCTTTTAACCCTCTAAGGGTTATGGATGTAAAACTATATACAGAAGAATGGCTTTCCAGTTTACTGCATGAAAAACTTTCTGCCAATCCTGATGTACCTGACTTAAGGAGTCAATGTTCAGAGTGAGAGGGTCAGTTTGGAATTATAATCAAGAAAATATCATTTATTCATGACATTTTACAGAATTTTGAAATTTTAATCCCTAATGGTCAAACTATATGAGTGTTTTTTTTTTTTTTTTACTTTTTACTTAAGACATGTTTCCTGATATACAGCAAGGAGTTTCTTCCTATGTGTAAGATTTACAACCAATTATCTGCAGAGTATTCATGGACAGTAGAACTATCTGCCACTATGCTTTACTTATCCCATAATTCTCTCCCATTTTAAGTTTTAATGAAGGTCACCTTTTTGTCAGTGGAATCGCACTAAGGTCAACTTTTTGTCAATGAAATCACACATTTGGGAAAGATTCCTGAAATATAAAATATTGAAAATATTTATCATTTGAGAGTAAAATAAAGAATTTTTCATAAAAAAAGTAACCCTTAGTTATAGGGTTATACTTGCTTCAATATATTTATGTAACTGCATTCATAATTGATTTTTTTCAACCTAATTTGCTCCTTCATTTTGGTTTGGTTTGGTTTATTTAATTATGGCAAAGCACATCAAGGCTATCCTGCCTAAGCGGAGGGATGCCTTCGAGGAGGACTTTCTAAGGGAAACTGGCTCGTATACACATTGCACATGGAGAGAATACCATGAAAATGCCCATGCTGCCAGCCTGCTTGCGGGATTTGAACCTTGGACCTAACTGCCAGCGTTCAGCAATTTTACCGCTCGGCCGCTGGTGGGTTTGCTCCTTCTTTATACAATACAATAATATATATATACATATATATATACACATGCATAAGTCATTCTGCAAAATTTCATGAATCCTGTATATGAAGCATCTACCACCCAAAATACCTTATTTCAAGCAAAAAGTACACTTAATACTGCAGTGTGCAAAGGAAAAGAAGTATGTAGTTTTTCAAGATCTGGATTAATCTGGTTAATATACTGGATGTCTTCATGTTCAGTAGATATTTAATCTTAAAATTCTATGGAGTTCAATTCTCAGTATATTTCAGGTCTTGATTTTGTTTATGGCTTTATTAAGTAGAGCAAGTGAACAGCATAGATTTCTAAGTGTTTGTAAGATGTTATGTAAAATCCTCTCCAAGTCACAATTTATATATGGTTCAATGAGTTCAGTACAGGAAAATATTATTTTAAAGATGACAAGCATAAAAGTTTTGTTCAAACTTGAAGTACTGGATCAGTATCCACTGAAAATACTCATAATTTGCTGTGCAGTCATACAGGCTCAAACAGACTTGGTGCTAAAGTATACTTCAAAGATTTGAGGAAATACAGACAAAAACTTTTTAAGAAATAATGAATCTTTGTTCTATTAATATGTCCCATAAACCTAGTGTGTTATTATCGAGTACAGGTTTCTCATGTAGAAAATCTTCACACCAAGATCAAAAGAGAAAATGGTGTGCTCTTTCTTCCCAATACATGGGTATATTAAAAGTGTGATGCTAGAATAAAGAATAGTTACTGCTATATCACAAAATACTTATTAAAAGATAAATGGATGATCAGGAACTGGAATGAGAGAAATCCTACTAGATTTCCGTCAATGATACAGCTTGCTCAGTAAATTGTAGCACTTCAATTTATTAAAATATTAAATTTTTATTAAGATGAATTTAAATTATTAAAATTTTTTAAAATGAGAAACTTAACTAACTGAATTTTTTAAATAAACTCATTTAAAAAATTCAGTTAGTTAAGCTTCAGGAGTTAAAATTTTTGGCCATCCCCTTCATAGTCCAAACTTATTATTTAGAAAAAGAAAAAAATAGTATTGGTCAGAGATTTGACTCTTATGAGAGGGCTATGTTAGCTTATGAGGACATCATCCCGAAGCAAGACTGGAAGCAGCATTTAATAAGTCATTTGAAAAACAAAAATTTACATGTTGCACTAGGAAGAGTATTTCAAAACAACATAATAGGTGACAAAAAGCAAACTCTAAATTAAAGCAGATTAGATAAATATAAAAAAAGAATTACTTTGCCTGTTTATTTACTTTTAATTCATATCCACAAGATTTAAAGTGACTTTCATATATGTACATAATGTTTATACACTTATAATACAAATCTTTTCAATGTACTTCTTAGACACCGAGATTTTTTCACTTGCCAAAAAAAATCTCTATAGGGTCTTTCAAAAAGGTAAATATAATTTTCATTTCCTTACATGCTGATTTTAGACATGTACTTTCAAATAAAAATTTCTTCAAAATAATGTAGAAATTTTCATAAAAACAGTTCAAACATTACATGTATGAGCGTTTTCTAAATGCACAATTTAACTTGCTTATAACGTCTGTGCAGACTAAAAGGTCCAGTAAATGTAATATTCATTATGTTTTAACAAGTACAAAAACATTTCATATATTTATATGCAAAATTTATGAAACAGTTAGCAAAGCTTGGCTACAAAATTAATACAGTTTTTTTAAATACTAAACCTAATATGTAATCATTAAGTCTTAAAAGCAACATATACATTTCATAACTCTGATTGTCTGGTTGAATGCTATCAAATTTTAATTAGTCCTGAAAAGTTCATTTTTTTTTAGCTTCACAAATTTTGTAGGTAAGGATACTCATTAAAACTTATTATTTAAAATTACTTTCTGTTAAACTTATAACATAAAGAACATTTTCCTAACAGTGTTTTGTTTTATCTAGAGTTCAATATAAAAAATTAAACTTCATGTTTACAAAATTTTTATACTGCCTGAGTTAAGAAAGAAATTCAAGCATTTTATTTTGAGAATTTCGCAAATGTAAGTACAATATTTAAGTAAATTAAGGCTGTAAATTATGAAATAATAGTTATACAAGAATAAATATCAAGACAGAGAAAGTCCAATCTAAAAACACTGAAACTTTTTGTTTTAAAACTGAGTTTTATAAGATAAGGTAACATATAAGTTGCAACAAGGTACCTTTTTCTCATATTATTTTGAGTTATTATTTTTGGGGAATATTAATATGTAACATTCTAAGGGAAATTACAGCTGATATAAATAAATTAGGTTTATTTAAAGATAGTAAACACAAGTCTTACTTCAAAAAGAGTTTCTGAATTGATGTTCCTTGGAGATACCTGGACTGAGTGTCCTCAGGAAGTGAAAGTGCAACCAATAAAATCAGCATTGATATGTATTTCCAAATTTCACTGCAGAGGAATTTATACGTGTGAATATTTTTACTCTACCAGTAGGTAAATAAACATGTGTTTATTCAATGTTAAAAGTTTAAAATTTTTATTTAAAATTGAGTGGTTACATATAAATACAGTTTTAAAATATATTTAAATTATTTAAATACACTAATTTTCCCTGTCTTTTAAAGATTGATTTTTAATTATACATCATGAAAATAAATATTTAATTTAGAATTATTAATTAGTTTTTTAATTTAATTATACTAATTTTGCATAAAAAATACTTTAGAAAACTAATTTTATCAAAATGTATACCATCGACTCTCAAGAGCCCTGATTAAATAACAGCTGCTTTCCAAGAAATAAATAAATCTGAAATTTGCCTTTGAAAAAAATAAATAAGAATAAAAACCAAGGGCAAATAATTATATCTTTTAATGAGAAAAAAATTGGAATTGTATTTCATTTCACAGATACTTTTTCTCAGGTGTGGTCAGGTTGCAATTTTTTTCAAGTATATATAATTTGTTGCTTGGTATGGTTTATCTGATAATGGCAAAGCACTCAAGGACTATATAGGAAGAGGGATGCTTTCGTGGAGAACTTTCTAAGGGAAACTGGTTCATACATAAACCATACATGGGGAAAACCATGAAAACGCCCATGCAGCCAGCCTGTTCACCATAATTCAAACTATCCGTGTTCAATAATTTAACTTCTTGGCCACTGATAGACAAGTATAAATTTGAGCTGAATTAAAATCCTGCTGCCACTTAAACCACGTCATAGTTATTTCTGAAAATTCAAAGAATGTTTGATGAACCTGAATATCACGATAACAATGATTTTCATTTTTATCAATTTTTGGTTCAAGAGATAATATGATCTTATCATCATCATTTAAAGTTTGATATGCAGGTATTTTTACCAGCCTTCAGTCAGTTGCTAATTTCATTTTTATCATAATTCTGACCTTCACATAATCTCTTTTGCTTTCATTTTATAATTAGAATCCAGAACTTTAATATGCAGATTAAATAATATTAAATTACAAGCGTAAGCATTATGTAATTTTAAAAAAAAAATTTACTTCCTCCTCTGTTTAACTATGTTTTCTTAACAGTTACTTTCTACCATCTGAAAGCTCCTTTCACACTTTGATTCATGGCCTTTATTATCGATCAAATCGCCATCTTCATATGTATTATCTAAAATCGACACCTATAAAATATAATGTATATTTGAAGGCATGTTATCAAGTTAATAAGAGATGACCAGATTTCTTAAAACTTCCTTTGATGCTCCTTCACTTTAACACGTTGACTGCCATGGCACTTTTCGGATTCCGGTCCAAGAAGCCAAATCGATTTAATCATATTATATTATTAAAAATTCTAATTATGATTCATAACATCATTAAAAAGTTTACAGGATTTTCTTTTGTAGAAAAATGGGTCTTACGAATTATCTCGTAGTCAGCTTTTGCTAGACAAAGCTCTTTGCAGAAGCCCACTACTAGTTGATTCGTACAGACATGCTCAACTGGTCGCCTCGGTACAGCTAAAACAAGCACTAAGTGAGTGAGTAAGTAACTCGCAGTGACACAAAAGTGGCAAGTCAAGAAACTACGAGCTAACTCATATTGGGCGTCCTGAAGAAGAGCGCTAATACGAATTATCTCATGTTGAGCAGTCAACGTATTAAGAAAGAAAGTTTCATAACATCAGTTGATAAAAACTTCTATAGTCCTCCATTCTTTAAGGAAATATATGAGTTTCATGGTCCATCCTTTAAGGAAATATATGAGTTTCATGGTCTCCCATAGGAGGAAGACAACCAAACCGGATCAAGAAGCACTTATTTAAAAAAAAAAAAAAAAAAAAAAAAAACATAGCTTATTCCTTTAGAATAAACTGAATGGTGTATGAAAAAAGATAGGAGATTTTCCCTATATAATTATGAAAAAATATTAATACTTTTAACAAATACACATTTTGAAAAACGTAGATTTTTACTAAGGAAATGCAAATTTTTGAAATACTTTGAGGTTTTCTTACATTTTACTTTGACAGAAACGAATTTTTTTCAATTAAGAAATGTCAGTAACTGAGTGCATTAGCTTAGGTGAATGAACAAGCATGCTAATATAGAACTTTAAATAATTAATAAAATAAGGTATTAATGAATTTATTTAATATTTGAATAGAATTATTACTTATGTCAATGATTTCAATCAATAAAAAACAGTTATTGCATAAGAACAAATTACAAAAAGCAAAATATGGTGATTATTTCCTTCTTAATTTCATCCATACATTAAAAAAAGCCTAATAAAGCAACATAGGCATTTTCTACATACATGTATCTCGAATATAAAATTAAAGAAAAGCTTAAATTCATTTGCTCTACTTTGAAGTCTGTGGAATGAATTTCAAATGTCAGAATATGTACTATTTTTATTCCCTAAGTATAATTCTACAGTTTAGGTCATATATGTGATCTGTTGTTTGACCTTGAAACTACACTTTTCTTATACCTGGACTTCAGCTAATCAATATTCCACTGCAATTTAATTCCCTTATTTAGTTATGTTAATTAGAATAGAGACTGAATTCTCAATGAGCAATATAAATATTAACTTAATTATGCATATCTCTAAAGCATAAAATACATACCTATACATAGCACAGACAATCTTTTCTTTCACAGCATATTTTCTGAACTGCTGCAAAATCTGTTCTTTTGGAGGTCTTAGATATTTTTTAAAATATTCAATCCTCTTGTAAGTTGTTTCAACAATTTCTATTCCATACTTATTTCGTTCTTTTAAAGAATGAACTGCAGCAGCAGGTGGGAGATACTTTTTCTTACTGAGATAAATTTTCAATGATGATATAATACAGAACAATAGAATCTATAAATGAGACAAAAGTTTACATTCATTGCAAAAATTAAATATTTAAAAGAACCTGGAAAATGTAATAAGAAAACTAAATAAAAATATATTAGGCAGGAAATATATAATCAAAACTACAGTCTATATATACAAAACAGGTTTAAAAAAAACACATATTAGAAAGTTTGATACTCAGAATAATATAATAGAACTATGAATGCTTATATATAATGCTTATATTAATATAATAGAACTATTAATGCAAAAATAGAACTATGATTGCTTATATAATAATTCTATTTGCCTAGTTAGGATTATTAAGACTAGTTAGGGAAGCCTTCTAATGCTAAAGAGAAGAGTTTGATCTTTAAGTAAGGCATTGACATTAATGACTGTGTACCTTTCCTTAACAGAGATACTTAAAATCAATCAGTTCAAATGTCCTTTGAATTAGTTGGTGGTAGAGAAAACTGAGATATTTAGATGGATACACTTAGATTCTGTCTAATAGGATGATCAAAATCAAAGCTGGGTACTGAAGTTATGAAGGCCCACTATTCCACAAGCGATGATAAATGACTTTATCAGAATACCAGTAGTATTTAGTGCTCAGGATGCATATGATGCCAGGATAACTTTGACTGTAATAGGCTCAAATGATAAAAATACAAAACATTGCAATTTCACCAAAATATAATAAAACCACACAGGAAATATATTTAAATAAAAGCAACAAAAATATATCTTTCATGGTTTTTGGCATGATACTGATGATATAGAGTAGCAATTTGCTAATTCCACGAAAAATCCACAGATAGCAAAACAAACTGAAATTCCTGTCATTTTCTCATCTAGCATGCTTTGAAAACACAAAAAGTAAAATCCTAAATATATTCAACATTTAGTCCGTAACTAGCAGTTGTTTTAATCTAAAAACACTTTTGTTTTATTAGCACAATGGAAAACCAAAGTTCTACATGTTGATAAAGTACTAATTTTAAGAGCAAAAACAGCGACAGAAACTAAATTCAGCTTGATAAGTATTATGACAAGTTTGCACTATCAATTAAAATTATTTACAAATGAGATCAACATTGAATGGCCTAGTTTCTTTTTTAGGTCATTACGTCAGAAATGATTGAAAAAATCCATGACTAAGGATATGAGAGAAAGTGCATAATATTTTTGGGTTCACTGATATATTGGTTCATCCTATAAAGAGTATTTCACATGAATAATTTAACATTAACATGCTGTCTGCCAGTTAAATGCTATGTTTGTTAACAATCAGTTAGAAAATCAACATGTGAATACATCTAAATACGGTTTAAAAATAAAATTCAATGAATTTTTGTGTTATTATATAAAAACTGATTAAAACTGAATAGATCACTACCAGCCTGAAACAAAATAACAGCCAAAACAATGGGTTTAAGCAGATGAACTCAAACAACAAACAAAGTGCAAAAACTGGTCTGTCAGTAAGAAATGATATGTCCATGGTTTTTTAGGTCACAATAAAACTCTTTGTTAACTATTTAGAAAAGAACATAACAATCAGTGAGAAATATTACTCATCTTTATTGGACCATCTGAACATTCAAATTAAACAAAACGTTGCATTTAATACAAAAAAGAATCTTTCCCATCATGATAATGTTCCAGCTTATACATCTGCAAATGTGATGGTGAAATTAGTGTAATTGCACTATAATATTTTCCCCACACTCCTTATTTTTAAGATTTGATGACTTTAAACTGTTATTTGCTCCCAAACATGAAAATTTTCCTTCATGTAAAATATTTACTTCAAATTTGTATGTTACCATTGAAACAAATGCCTACTCTGCAGTATTTAGAAAAATCATGTTTTACAGATAAAGTGAAAGAGCTTAAAACTGCTTTTCTCAAAGAAGCTTTCATTTTTGTTTGTATGGACTTAGGTTACCAAATTAGGACTTAGGTAAACAAAATTGTATATGATAAGACTAAAAGGAGAATATGGCAATGCACCTATAAGCAGCATGTGGTCAATATGAGAATGACCATTTTGACTTTTGAAAACTGAAATCTGTGACAAAAAACTTTTGTTTTGCAATAATAAATTTGAGTGATGCTTATACAAAATGCAAAAATTATATTTTAAAAAGTTACCTTGAATGGTAGGCATGGTGTCATATCCTAGGAAATTCGAAATAAAACACACTCATTTATGACTTTTTTTTAAAAGGATGGGGGTAGTTTAACTTAATCATTATGAAAGTTCTCTTCAGACATTGAGGTAATGTTCAATTCATTAATAAAAACAAAAATGAACGATAGTTCCTAATACAACATTTTATATAGCTTAACTTATATAAGTAATTTTACACATCTGATTATGTTCTAGCTTATCATCTACTTGCTTTATTTCTACCCTCAATCTCATGTACTTTTTGCTTAGTATTTGCGTCTATAACACAGCAAGTATTCAAATGCAATGCTCCAAAATAGATACTATTCCTGAAAATAATTTTAGAGTTGTCAGAAACGTTTTAGCTTTATGATCATGCGTGTACAACATTACTCAATGAGAAACTGTACACAACTAACTGCAAAGAATATGAATGTTGAGAAGATATACTTTAAAGAATGCACTTAAAATTTTATACATTTTGTTTACAAAGTTTATACTTTATACATAAGTTATTAATATATTATTTTCAACATTTTAAATTACAATGGTTAAACATTACGATTTATATAACTTGTAATACAGAATCTTTAAATTAGACCTTTGTGAATTTTACTACCTTTATTTTACATTTACTTCTAACAATCCAACTTATCTTCTATAATTTATGGAAATGCATATAAAACATTTTTTTCCCAACAGAATTACTAATATTTTACTTTCCTAACATTTTATATTTCTCCCTATTAATATGCTGAGCTGCAATTTAAATATATAAAAATCAAATATATATAAATTACACATTAAAATATAGATGTATATATATTACAGCTTTCTGAATATTTTTGAAACTACATTTGCAGCTCATCAGATTGGTAATAACAATAGATATCAGATGAAAATTCACCGAGTCTGAAAAGTTGAATTACAATCTAAATTAATTTCTTTGGTTATTGTAAAAAGATTAATGTATTAAATAGGTAAAGTGAATTGAGAGCAAGATAAGAATCACATTAACTAAACACATTTCTTAACAGACAGCAAATTTCAATTTCAGTGTCTCATTTAGTAATGATGCTGTAAATGTAAATTACAGTAACTAAATAAAACTCTTCACACACAGCAAATTTCAATGTCTCACTTAGTAGTAACATGTATATACAAATTTTATTTTCATACACAGGGCCGGCACCAAAATGTGTGCAACTGGTGTAGCCACACAAGGCAGTATATTTTTTAGAATTTAGTAAGAAACCAGGTAGCAGAATTTCGAAGTCCCAGAGTTTGCACCTGGCAGCAATAAGTTTAGCACTGGCCCTGTTCATACATTGTAACAAAATTACTTACTGCAAATGGAGTTACTACTGAAAATGAGTACACCATAGTAATGAATATGTTTTTAAACCAATGCAAACATTCTGGTATAGTAAACCTGCAATAGTAAAAAATAAAACATTTAATAATACAATACAAGATATAATATTTACAAACTAAAGTTCACAACTAAGCATTAGCAGCATTTGTGATTATGATATCTAATTACAATGATGAATTAAAGAATCATTAAAATTAACTTATTCTTAAAAAATACTTTAGCTATTACTTTTCAATGAAAATTTTTTGATTTTTTTTAACTTGCTTTATACCTTCAAGTTACAGAGTATTATGAATATTTTTTGGAATTAATATGTAACATTCATAAGAAAAGATATTTAGGATAAATATGTTTTTGAAAATATATTTGTAGTCAATTCAAGTTATATAAAAATTATCTCACAGGTACACACATTAGAGTGTTTGCTTAATTTTACCTCGAAAATATATTATGTACGTAAATAAAAAATAAAATGTTAGTATGTAATACAATCCTGTAAATCTTTATTTTAATTTGATGGGTTTCCTTCTAGTCTAATTTAAGTTTCTGATGCATATCATTTCTTGATTAATGTCTTCATTTTCAATCATATAATACTGCTGATGCTTACCACACACTTCCATATAAGTAAAAAGATGAATATCTAATAATATTTCATTCCTTAATTTTAATATTAATCAGATTAGTGATATTTCAACCATATTTACTAATAAAAAACCTATTTAATTTTCATTTTTATATTCTAATACACATATCGCTCATCCATCTTATAACACATTTTTGCTGTTACATGACAAGAAAAGTGTAGAAACGCTGGTAGTACTTCATTTTCAATCATATAATACTGCTGATGCTTACCACACATTTCCATACAAGTAAAAAGATGAATATCTAATAATATTTCATTCCTTAATTTTAATATTCATCAGACTAGTGATATTTCAACCATATTTACTAATAAAAAACCTATTTAATTTTCATTTTTATATTCTAATACACATATCGCTCAGAGAACTGTAGAAGCACTGGTAGTATTTCATTTTCAATCATATAATACTGCTGATGCTTATCACACACTTCCATACAAGTAAAGAGATGAATATCTAATAATATTTCATTCCTTAATTTTAATATTCATCAGACTAGTGATATTTCAACCATATTTACTAAGAAAAAACCTATTTAATTTTCATTTTTATATTCTAATACACATATCGCTCATCCATCTTATAACATGTTTTTGCTGTTACATGACAAGAGAACTGTAGAAATGCTGGTAGTACGGCAACACAGTTTCATTCTAGCATGCTAATAAATATAAATAACCCTCTTATGAGCTTCATGGATGTACACCTTGCACTAAAAAGGGGGGAGGACAGTTTTATATCTCCCATTCTACTGGACCGACTATCTAAATTTAACTTGCATTTTTCATGTCTCAAAAGCATGACTTAGGATATATATATTAGATTTGTATATAGCATGGTATAGGATATATATATTAGATTTGTATATAGCATGGTATTTTGACACAAAATCACACTTTTCTTAATAATATACCAATTTTTTCCATATTTCGATTCTAAGGCTCAGCATACATGCAAAAAAATTAGATTTTTTAAATTCAAAATTTTCTAAGATATACATGAATATTGGCGCAGTTTGAAATTTGGCATATTTGTTATAAGCGATAATAATGCCAAATGTGGTTTACGCAATTTGTTAAAATTATTTGAAAATATGAAAGCAGTGGCGTAAATAAGGGTATGCAAAGAATGCCGTCGCATAGGGGCCCAAAGAGTTACACGGCCCTTGAATGCCCTACTGAACTACATTTATATGTTTAAACTTAAAAGACGATATATACATATGTGTGTGTATAAGATAAAAACATATGTAAATGAAAATTGTAATTTAAACTAACGGTAAACTCTTTTAATTATTCCTCTCTGTTTAAAATTGTAATAACCTCCCTGAATTGCGTCATTTCTAGATCATTCGATTTTGCATGATCTGCGTAGCGCTGATGACGTAATAATTGGAAACTGAAACTTTAAACCAAAACCTTTCTCTTCATGTGCTTCTATCTTGCACTACTACGCACTTCAGCTTCGCTTGGTGGCCTGCCAGGATGTAATTTTGCTGTCTTGCTTGTCAAAAATGTAAATGTTGCTGAAAAGGCATGTCTCGACAGCCAAGTGAACTGTGGCCACAAACGTCAACTAGAAAATAAAAATGGAATTAAAATTGCCTCGACTGCCAAGTTTCTTAAATATTATGAAGTCAACATAACTATGCAATCAGAATTCTTCCTCTTCAGCATGCATCTACCCTATATAGGTATTATGCATCAACAGTTCCAGCTTTTCCTTGCTTTTATTTCAATCCTTGCCATTATTGCAATATTTTTAACAAAGTCGGAAGTAACTGATCAGCAGAAATTTTGATGGCATAGAAGTATTGATTCATAATGAATAGGAAATTGGAGGCGAAGGCAGGTTAAATCTTCATTTTTTTATTTCAGCAAACATGCTGCAGCCACAAACAAGTTAGTAAATTAACTGTGCCTATCCCAAAAAGCTTACATTTTAGATAACTTTGCAGTAAGAAAGTAGGAACAGACAGTTTACAGTCCAGCTAGGCCAAAGCATAGAAGAAAGCAAGTGTGCTTTTTGGTGACAGATATTTCACGCATGTGCAAAATAATTATGGCAGATGTAGAAAAAAGTTATGTGTGTCTAGACTTTTATACAGGCTAAAAATAGCATTCAGTATTGAAAGTTAACCTGTGTCCTTCATGTATAAGATGCAGGTAACTTTTTTGAGAACAAATTTAGGAAAAAAAGTGCGTCTTACATGCCGTCAAATACGGTACATGAGATCATATGGACATGGATTAACCCTTTCCGGCACGCTATCTTTTAAAGTCAGAGTTTTGATTAAAAATAAAAAAAGGTAGGCAGTCTAATTATACCTAGAGGAGTACACAAGTAAAATTTTGTGAAGATAGCATTTATCATTTTAATTCTGTGGATGTGCCCAAAGTGGCACACTGATTGAACAGAGCTTCGAAAAGAGTGCTGAAACGAGCATTTTTGTCAATAAACTGACCAATGAGATGTGGAGAAACAAAGAATACAGGCTCTCCAGTTGTACTAGATTATCAATGAGCCCGGTTTGGGCACACCTAGGGTTCGCCGTTTGATTTTAGGCAAAATTTCAAGGTAAAAATTTAAAACTTATAGAATAAGGCGATTAGCATACAACCAAAAACATAACATACATATTTCTTTTCAAACAATTCCTTTTATACCCTAAAAAAAATCTGGAAGATTTCTTTGAAAAATGAGGGTCTTGAAAAACTAAGCATGGCTAAAATATATGGACTGGTTTGTGTTGACCTGCCATCTACTATAAATAAAGAAGGTTCAGAGTAACTTATAGTAACCTATAAATCCTTTTTCATTCAATTTTTTTGTGCGTACAGAAAAAAATTTTTAGGTGTGTCCAGACTGGACACACTGTGCCGTAAAGGGTTAATCTAGAAATGACGCAGTGCAGAGAAAGGTTACTATTTTTAGAATTGAAAAGGGAAATTTAACGTTGCTTATTTAATCTAATTATTTTTAGATATTCTTTATTTTTTCTTATATATATATATTAGAATCCGTCTTCTTTTAAATTTACAGGGGCCCACTGTGTCATATAACACAGTTACAGGGCCCTTGGAAGCAGACAAAGTTTAATTCAGTGTTACATGTAACAAAACTTCAACTGAATACAAAGCAGAAAAGCTATATTCTTTTATTTTGATTCCCTTCTAGAGGAGAGCTTTCAAGTCACTAGTGATAATTGGGAACAGACTGTAGCTCGAGTTTATTGTCAGAACAAGTCCTTAATTTTTTGAAAGGTCAGCATGTGACAAAACTAAGGCAAAAATGAAGGACTCTTGAAATCCAAGAGATTTCCCAAAACTCCCAATTTTAGGAAACGACTTTGTATTGTAGCCAGATGTCAAATTTTCTCGTAAATACAAAAAGAATCAGTTGGCTGAGGGGTAAGAATTACAACTTTTCTTGCACGTTGTAAATTTCACACCAATTCTTTTTTTAAAGCTTGATCATGCAATTAATTTATTTATATAAATCTTAATGGTTTAATCTCGAATATTAATATAAGTTAAAAAGGGTTAAATCACCTCTCCTTTTCCTTCCTTTCTATTCATGTATCCTATTTCTTTCACAGTGTTCAGTAGTAAGAGTTTTTACTACTAACAGGAGTCCAGGACAGGAGGCGCTGCTAGCGCGTTATACTCTAGACCTACGTAATTTGAAATGAGTATTCTTTTCTTTTGTGTACTTGCTGTAACAGATCTTACAGCTTTGTGATTGAGAATTTAAAATGTTTTGGAGCCAGATCGTTCCTCTACAGCAACAAAATGATTAATAAATACATAATAAAGTAAATATCTTTGTGATGATAATCTTTGTTATTAAATACAAAGTCAACCAGCTCCTGAGTACAGTTCAAGTGGTCCGTCGAGAATCGAAGGTGAGCTCTCCCATTTTAATCTCTATTAAATTTGAAGAGTATAACTGTTATAAAATATGGAAGCTCTAAAAACTAGAAAAAGAGTGTTTTAAAAAGTTCACTGACGCGGCATAAAGATAAAGTTGTTTCGTCATTAGATGTTTCAGATTCAGTTGCGTTGCAGCTATTTGAAACCAAAACTAATGAAATTTCTAACGAACTTAAATCTGTATTTTATTCAATTTTCGAAGCATGTAAACCCGAAGAATTGGATAAATATGTTGAGGATAAAGAAGATACAGATGATATTGTTGATGAGTTGCTATTGATGATTAAACGTAAATTAGCAGTAGTAAAAAATAAGATGAATTCTGAACATTCTGTTTCTACTGTGCCGAGTAATAATAATTCAAATGTGTTTTCGGATGTTAAGTTACCGACGCTATCGGTACCGACATTCAATGGTAAAATAGAGAGATTGGATAATGTTTAAAGATATGTTTTAAAGCTAGTGTAATAGAAAACAA